AGCCAAATGTCGGTCACCCATCCCATAGTAGTAGCAGCCAAATGTCGGTCACCCATCCCATAGTGAAAGATCAACTAAGCATGAATTGGAACACTCCAACATACATGAACTTGACAATGAGAAGGTTGTGAACTATTGCCCCAAAGTAATCAGCTATTCTACTTAGAGTGTCGGCTACTACATTATACTTCCCTTTAACTGGCTTCAGTTGAAAGTCAAACTGGTCTAACTCTACGGCCCACCTAGTAAGCTTAGGTGTCATCTTGGCCTGAGTCTTCAGCCACCTTAGAGTCTCGTAGTCTGAATAGACTTTGAAGTGCCTCCCAAGCAAGTAGTGCTTCCGATGATCTAATGCTTGCCTGAGAGCGTAGAGTTCCCTCTCGTAGGTGGATGTCGCCACCTTCTCTGAAGGCATCCTGGCGGACATGAACTCTACGGGCCTATATCCATTGCCATCGTCTTGCTGTAAAACAACACCTATGCCATACTGACTCGCATCAATGGTAACAACGAAAGGTAGGGACAGATCGGCGACCTTAAGGACTGGATATTCTATCAGGGCCCGCTTTAATCTTTTCAGGGCAGTTGTACAGTGCTTGTCCCACTTCCAGATTGCCTCTTTCTTTAGCAACCTGCGAAGGGGTGCAACGATGGTGGAGAAGTTCCTGACGAACTTCCTATAGTAATTAGCTAGGCCTAAGAACGACCGCAACTCTGTCAGTGTGCGGGGTGTTGGTCAGTCTCTAATCGCTGCAATCTTATTGTCTTCATGTCTAACGCCGTCTCCGTCTAAGACGTGGCCCAAGTACAACACTTGTGTATTGGCCCATTCACACTTCTTTGCGTTGATCTTGAAGTTAGCTTCTCTAAGCTTCTCCAAGACCTGCCTCAGATGACCCTCATGCTCCTGCAGGGTCTTACTGAACACTAGAATATCATCTAGATATACTACAACAAATCTATCTAACCACGACCTAAACAAATCATTCATGCAGCGTTGGAACGTCGCTGGCGCATTGGTTAGTCCAAAGGGCATAACTATAAACTCGTAGTGCCCATACTTCGTCCAGAATGTTGTCTTGTACTGATCATCAGAATGAACTTCTATCTGATGATAGTCGGACTTTAAATCTATCTTCGAGAAATACCCCTGCACCCGATCTAACAGATCATCTATCCGAGGCAGTGGTTCTGCATTCTTCACTGTGATAGCATTGAGACCTCTATAGTCTATACACATTTTGAGCTCTCCCTCTTTCTTGGGGACAAAGAGAACAAGTGCTCCAAATGGAGACGAACTGGGCCTGATCCAACCCTTCTCAAGGAGCCCGTCTAACTGTTTGCGCAACTCCTCTAACTCCCTTGGGGACATTCTGTAAATCGCTCCCTTAGGAGTCTTACTGCCAGGCTCAATCTCTATGTGATGCTGGATTGGTCGTGGCACTACTCATGTAGGCGGCTTAACTAAATCTATATATTCTTCCTGCAGCTTGGCAATAGCAGGGTCTATGGGTGTCTCCTTCTTAGGCTTAGTGACTGGCCTCACGTAGGCTACAAATACTTGTTCTTCTAATTGCTCCTTCTTCACTAAACGGGCGAATGGGGGAGCACTGAGACAACAATGTGCCAGATTGTTATCTACTCCTGGCACATGAAACAGGCGAGCAGCCTTGACTTCACCTGTGGAACTAGGGAGCCTACACTCATGCTCTCTCAAATGTAGTGTGACCCCTGCAACCTCTCCCCAATCCATTCCTAGGACTATATCGAAAGGAAAGTTGTCTTCTACGAGGAGAGTCAGGGAATGAAGAACTTTCTTCACCTTCCCATCTTTCTCTGGGCGAAAGTATGCTTGGACTCCCTCAACCCAGGATCACCGCAATATATACTCTTTTCTCTCTCTAAGGACGACGGCGGCCTGCTCTTCCTGAGCCTTGGTGTAAGGGGTGGTGCTCTTGCCACTACGTGTGTCAACCATGGTGAAAGGTGTACGAGCCAGAATCAGTTTCACTCCTCACCACTTAGACTTACTCCCCTGACTAACTTAACTTAGACTGACTCAATCTAAGCGCCACAGAATCTTAACAAGATTCTGTCAACTCTCTAGCCTGGACCTAAACTAAGGCTGTCTGTGGCATACTGCGTAGCCACACGGGCCCTGCAGGGCCCGTCCCGGACATTCAGCCTAAAAGCCTAAAACTTAGGGTTTACAGGCCCCGTTCGTTTCAGCCTGGATGCTGAAAAACGAGGGTCTGCAGGCCCTACCCCGTTTCAGCCTATTTCTAGGTCTTTTCAGACCCAGAGTTTTCAGCCTGAAACGGAGGGCCATTTTCAGGCCCTCATTGTTTCGACCTGCCCCTAAGACTCAGGCTTGTAAACAGGGATGCGGAACAGGCCAGAAATAGCCTGTTCCTCACGAGTTTGAGCAGGAGCTGCAGCTGCAGCCCCTGCCTCCCTTCGGCAGGCTCAGGAGGCACACCCGCAGTACATAGGAAGTTCCCATGCACTTCACGGGTAGGTAGTGGTCAGTAGGCACAGGTAGTCTTCAGGATTTCGGCCGCAGCACTCAGGAGGAGCGCTGCAGTAGTCTTCAGCGCTAGGCAGTAGGTATTAGCGCTAGCTGTAGTCTTCGGCGCTGGGCGCCATAGCTGTAGCTGTAGTCTTCAGCGCTGGGCGCTGGTAGGTGGTAGATCGTAGAGTGGGAGAGAGACTGGCGGAGGCCAGTGTTACTTACCTGTGGCGCCATCGCTCCAACTCCATCTTCGTGGTACCTGCCTCAAGGCGCCAACTTCACAGGTTAGTACTGGACAGAGAGAGAGAGAGAGTTCTCCTTCTTCCTCTTCTAAGTCCACCTTCTCTTCTCACCCTCTCGCCACCTGACTTCTCAGACTACGACAGAGAGAGACAGAGTTGTGACTTGA